CCTGCACCTCGCACGCCCGGGCTGCTCGGCTGGCTGGATGTGGTTCCTCTGGTCCCTCTCGTGGTCCTGTGTCCGGGGGATGGGCCCTGAGAACCCGCAGACATCCCGCTCCCCCGCTTCTTGAACGTGGGGCCTTTGCAGTCCTGACCTCCCCAAATGTGGAGTAGGAATGGCTCCGTACTGGAAGAATCAGGCGTGTCTGATGTGCTCACCTAGTGTGCTTATCAGTGTTTTACTCAGTGAAACGCAAGGGCAAACTATCACACATCTAATTTTCACGTTAAGCAGATAAAAGCTGGTGGCCCCCTACCTGCACGTGAATAAGCCTGCATTGAATCGGCTTGGCCGAGCACAGACCTAGCTGCAGGGAGGGGACGGGAGACACTGATAAGGTGGTCAGCTGGGGCTCTCTCCGGACGTGGGGTCTCGGATAAGAGGGAGAAGGACCACTAAGCATCGTCTGTACTCCCATTGACCATTACTCCCCTGAAAGCCAAGCCCCTTGGAAAGAAAATGTTTAAGGTGAACCATGTTGACAGGCTCTGCCTCGCGCCCCGCTCAGTGTATTTGATGGGTCACTTTCTCCTCTCTCCCCAGAGTTAATCGAGTACTTCAAGTCTCAGATGAAAGAAGATCCCGACATGGCCTCGGCCGTGGCTGCCATTCGGACCCTGCTGGAGTTCTTGAAGCGCGACACCGGTGAGGGTCACCCCGCACACACCGGCCCCAGGACAGTCTCCTGACAACTGTGAGAGGCGGAGAGAGTGAGAGAGACGTGTCCCCGCGTGAGGTGCTGTCACCCCAAGCTCAGCCTCTGCCTTCACTGCAGCCTTCCTTTCAGCCTGGAGGGAGCCCGCAAGTTACTACTGTTAAACGGGTTCCCTCTCACAGATGAAGTAGACTTTGAGTCAGAAGGGACCGCTCTATATCCAAGTCCCCGTGAAGCTTAAATCACAGCAGTAGGTCAGCTTTCCAGTTGTGTATAGAGCTGTCCGGTGCCAGATTCTCTGCAGATGCCACAGAGAACGTTCTAGAATAAATTCTGGCAGTAAGTCTGTTCATCCCGATCGCCTGCCAGTTCAGGCATTCCAGTTGTGAGCATGTGGGTGTAGCATGGTATCTTGTGAAAGGGAAATGACAAGCCTTCTTTGATCCAAGGGGCTGGCCAGGAGACACCTGTCCCCAGGACGACCTCCAGTGTCTTCTCCTTGTGCTCCCAGTAACTTCCAAACACCTGGTCCTCACCTACCGCGGCTGCTTAATGTCCTCCGTGCTCGCTCTCTCTCGGCCTGCGCATTGGCCGTGCTGGCCTCTCAGACCTGGTTTGTGCCCACCTCGTGGCTTTTGTATTGTCATGATCTGCCCCTGGGCCTTTCCCACTGGATCTTTATGCAGCTGGATCCTTCCCTCTTAAAGGGCCCGCACTCCAAGAAGCCATCCCCGCTCACTTTACCATCGCCCCACCTTTCTTGTCATGTTTCTCTTTCCCGTCCTTGTTACACTCTGTAATGAACTTCCCTGTTTCGCTGGGAACTTGTTTCTTTGCTGCCTCTTCCCCTAGAGAGAGTTCATCAGAGCAGGGATCCTGTCTGCCTTGGTCACTGATGTATCTCTGGCATCTGGTCTAGCATAACTGTGCAGAGTAGATGGATGAATGAATGAATGAATGAATGAGTGAATGAATGACAGGCCCACCGAGGGGCTGTGATACTAAGATGGACGTCACATTTCTCGCGTGATCAATCCAGGGGAGACGATCCAGGGCCTGAGAGCGAATCTCACCAGAGCCATCGAAACCCTGTGCTGCGTGGACTCCTCCGTGGCCGTGTCCTCAGGCGGGGAGCTCTTCCTGCGCTTCATCAGCCTGGCGTCCCTGGAATACTCGGTGAGCCCGCCCCGTTCCTGTCTGCTGCTGTTCGGCTGCAGACATGCTCCGCTTTCCCTGGACCCCCTGCCCTCATGTGGCTCCTCCCTCCCTAGGATTACTCCAAGTGTAAAAAGATCATGATTGAGCGGGGAGAGCTTTTTCTCAGGAGAATATCACTGTCGAGAAGTAAAATTGCAGATCTGTGCCACACGTTCATCAAAGACGGGGCGGTGAGTAGATACCACCAGTATGGTAACGGGGAGCGAGGGCTTTGGACTGACGACTCCCGGGTGAATTCCTGCCCCTGCCCCTTCCGCGCCGTGTAACCCCTCTGTGCTGCAGCGCACTTGTTGCTAAATAAGCGGGATCACAGCACCTACCTCGCCGGGTTGTTGCGAGGTAACCAGGTGGTATGTGCAAGGACTGTGCTGGGCCTGGCACACAGTAGGCACGACATAAATGTAGATACGGCCATAGATGGTTGTCACTTTAAGCAGGCAGAGAAAAACACTGGGACGGAGTGGATGAGCCTTGATTTAATGAGATGCCTTAAGGAGTGTTTGTTACTGGGTCTGTGCTAAGTTGGTACAAAATACAGCAGCTCCCATCACTGGCTGATGCTGCCGTCTTCCTGGCAGAGGGTAGCCCTGGGTTGAGGTTTTTCTGAACCTCATTTCAATGACCAGGGAGGAGCGAGGAGCTGCAAGTGAAGGCGGTCGCCCGGCCCAGGGCTCGTAAGACGCTTCTTGCCACCAGCACACTTCCTTCCGCGTCACCCGCTCCCGAGCATGAGACACTGCGTGCACCTGGAGTGCCGGGGGCGGGGGGGCACGTCAGGCCGCCCCTGACGGAGCGTTCTCGTCCACAGAGGATCCTGACCCACGCCTACTCCAGAGTGGTCCTGAGGGTCCTGGAAGCGGCTGTGGCGGCCAAGAAGCGCTTCAGTGTGTACATCACCGAGTCGCAGCCGGACTTGTCCGGGCAAGTACCTCCGCACTGGGTCCTGCGCCCGGCAGTCATCCTAAGGGCGGACTGTGGGCTAGAGGCCATTGCAAGGAGCCAGGGCGTGCCCCGACCCGCAGCGTCCCGGCTGCCTGCCTGCCAGTTCCCACCCGGGGAAAGCCACGAGGCACAATGGGTCGCAGTGCGGGCCCCAGGGGTGACCTAGCAGCTCAGTCAGAGATCAGCAACTTCATCAGCTCCGTGACTCGTCATACTTCCCTCTGGAACTTTCTTGGGTTTTAGCTGATGTTCTCAAAATGTCATTTGCAGTAAGAAAATGGCCAAAGCCCTGTGCCACCTCAACGTCCCCGTCACCGTGGTCCTGGACGCCGCTGTTGGGTAAGCGCCAGCGTCCCCGGCTGCGATGACGGCCCCCACCCCTCCCAGGGCTGGCCGGGAGCTGGGTTTCCGGGTTGGAGGCCCGAGTCCCAGTCATAAACCTGCACTGGAAGGCGCCCGCCTCTTAATTAATAGCTGCCTGAAACCAGCAAGCTCGTTACAGGCCTTGATGGCGCACACAGACGCCAGGCAGGAGGGCGCTAGCAGGGCGGCAACGGGAGCCGTTCGCGTCACCTCTGGTGCAAGGGCGGGGGGCGAAGGTCAGGGTAAGGTCAGCAGAGGGTGGGTGCTCCCCCTCCATCCGAGGACACGGTGCCCTCTGTGGCCCTCGCCTCCTTCGTCTCAGCCATGCATCTAAGCCGAGGCCGCATGCCAGCGAGCCTCCCAAGGGAAAACGGGAGTCTCTTACAGCGGAAACGCGTAAGGGAGGGAGGGCTGTTTGATGGGCATTTGCAGCGTTCTCCCGGCGGCTGGCTTTAGGTGAACTGGCCTCCACGCACCTGAGAGCACATCAGGCCTTTAGGTCCCGGGTCTGTGTGTGTGGAAGCAGAACAGGGAACAGCACCACGTGGAAGGTGGCAGCCCGCCTGCAGGTCTTGCTCAGGTTCACACGTTTGTGCACACTGGGTGGCGGCGTGACGTGGGGTCATGATGGACACGGGTTTTAATGCGCTGACGGCAGTGCCAGGGCCACCTCGTGTTAAGTGCCCTGTGAAGCACGTTAGTTACAGGAGGAACTCACCAGGTGGAGATGAGGATTAACCTTCGCAGGGGAGGCCTAACGAGCGGAGAAAGGAGCGTAAACATGTCTCCTTACCTTCCTCAGCTACATCATGGAGAAGGTGGACCTGGTCATAGTGGGTGCAGAGGGAGTTGTTGAAAACGGAGGCGTTATCAACAAGGTAGGAGCCTCAGTCACCGTTCCCTCCCAAGGGTGGCGGTATACCGCGGGCCTAGGTCTCAGCAGCCATGCTGTGCGTTCGCTGCACAGTCATGTGATCCTCCTTTGCCCACCCCCTTGCTTCCCTGTCCCAGAAGCCATTGCAGGGGTCAGCCCAGTTTTGGTAAAATTCCCTTCTGCTTCGGAGACTCATCCATGTAAAGTAGGGAGTGTATTTTCTGTTTCCTCAAAACATGTTTTAACTGAAATTGGGGTTTTTGGCTGGTTTTTCTTTTCTGTTCAGTGTATCTGACATGAATAGAATGTGTTAAAATTTCTCTGTCCAGCCCGGCCGGTGTGGCTCAGGGGCTGAGCATCGACCTACGAGGTCATGGTCAGTTCCAGTCAGGGCACGTTTCACAGCAGGACGTGGTATTCGGTGGCTGTGACCTGCATTTCCCTAATGACCCTGGGCGCTGAGCATCTTTTCCTGAGTTTATTGGCCGTTGTGTATCTTTGGGAGAATATCTACTGTTTTCCTTTTTAAAAGCTCCTCTGCTGTAGTTCTGAAGTCAGAATTACGTGTGCTTTCTGTGGCCTCCCTTGACCTGCTGTCGGTCTCACCGGCTCCCCTTTCCCCGCCTTCCCAGATCGGAACCAACCAGATGGCCGTGTGTGCCAAAGCACAGAACAAGCCCTTCTACGTGGTGGCGGAGAGTTTCAAGTTCGTCCGGCTCTTCCCACTAAACCAGCAA